GAGGCAAAAGTTAAGAGCGGTGACGGGGCTCGGTCGGCGCGGTGACGTCACGCCAGGTAACAAATCGCCGGGGGCTGAATGCATTTCAATTTCGTAGTGTACAGTGTATAGATTCCGGCGCCAATAACAATCGGTCAAGTGGCTTTTCAACCGATAATTACCGAATAATTATTTGACGCCTCTCGAGTGGGCTTAATTGTCGATATATATACATATTTATAATATATATATTATATGATATATTTATGAATTTATTTATATATGTATATATATATGTGTGTGTGTACAAATACTTTGATTGTACCTGGCGATGTGTTCATCGGACAGCACATATATATGCGCGACTATTTACAACGCCATACGTACGCACGCGAAGTCAACAAATTCACAGCCGTGATGAATACATACACGCCCATACATACGAATAATTAACGGCCCAAACTTGAGTCCACTCCATCCGCAAAGCCACGCTGGGCCGGCCGCATGGACGCGTGTGACGCCCTAGACTTCTCGCAACCTCGCAAGCTGACTATCTGCACGGATGTTGAAAGCAGGCGCGCGCACGCAGAAATCCACACCTTTACCTCGAATGATTTTAATATCCGGTGCAGTGAAATCAGTCCGTCGTGCAAAGCAAACAGGAGAGTCGCCTTCCTGATTGGGCGGTCATCTGACACGACGGCGCCATTTTCGATGACGTCAAACACCTCGTCCTCGCTGATGGAGCCATCTTTGGACAGCGTGCGCTGACGCTCGATCTCCTCGTTGTGCGTGTGCGTCTCGAACTTTGCGTCAGAAATGAGCGACCTGCGTCGCGACGGGTAGCCATGCTGAAACGGAGAGAAGATGGCGACATTTTTTCAGTGGTTCTCGCGCGTCTTCGTCGTTCTCGCGGCGTGATAGAGAGGGAAGGCAGAAGGAATATGTCTAAGGCGTAGAGCGCTGCGAGCTTGAGTGGGGGCAGGCAGTTACGACTGACTTCAAATTTTTGACATTTGTTCACGAGGGATAGTTTAAATTTACTATCACCACAGTTGTGCCAGTGTTTTCGTGCGCGTGCGGTGTGTGTGTGTGTGTGTGTGTGTGTGTGTGTGTGTGTGTTGTGTGTGTGTGTGTGTGTGTGTGTGTGTCGCAGGCGGCGGCGTAAGCCCAGCTTTTATTGTGTGGCGCGTTCGTTTTTCAATCGTTGGGCAATTTTCTGCTTGATCGCCAGTGGGCGTTTGTACATTGCCGCATTTGTTGCCGGGGGGTCTAAGTACACCCATAGTTGCGCAGCACGCGAAGCCAGGGGGGGTCCGGCACCTCTTCCCTTCCGGTCCTCCTCCCCTTGTCCTAGCAGCGCCCTTCTTGTGGCGGCGCAATGGCGAACCGACAGGCGAGGAGCCAAGGGCGACCGCGAGCGGGGGGAGGTGGTGGGAGGGGCGGCTGTTCAACGATGCTTCACCTCAACGTTGACGGACCCTCTCCGCACGATGGAGATTTTGCATATATTTACACTAAAATTGCGAGGCGACCGTGAGGTGAAATTCTTCGCAAGTTTTCAAAATTATTATTCTTTTTGGCTTGGGGGAGGGCCCTCGGGGGGGTTTGTCGAACGCCGCCCGAACGGCCTCCGTGCTACGGGCCTGGTGTGTGTGTGTGTGTGTGTTTGTGTGTGTGTGTGTGTGTGTGTGTGTGTGTGTGTGTGTCGTGTGTGTTGTGTGTGTGTGTGTGTGTGTGCTCGTGTTTGTTAAGATCGCTCCTGATCCGCCCAGCGTTCCGCGACAGTCGAATTCCCTCCTGCTAGTTCTTTGCTCTTTGCTTGAGTCATCGCTAGCAACTATCTTGATTGTAATTCTCTGTCGTCAGGCCTTAAGTTACGTGTTTGATCGACCTGATTTTGCTTTCTCGCTCACGTATTCAGGACTAATTTAATCGTTTACGAATTCCTTCGTTCGTTCGTTTATTCATCATTCGTTCGTTCGTTTGTTCGTTCGTTCGTTTCGTTCGTCTTGTTCGTTGCGTTCTTTTCTTTCGTCTCGTTTACTGTTTGTTCGTTTTTCTCTCTCGTTGCGTCTCATGCGTTTTCGTCTCGTTCGTTTCTCTCCTCTTCTTGTCGTTCCCTGTTCCGTTCTTCGTATTTGTTTGTTTCACCGTTCGGGTTCGTTCACCCTCATTCCATCTAAGTCTCATTCATGATGCATGCTCACTTCATATGCGCTTTATGCGTTTAGTTCACTGATTAATATGTAAATAATGAACTTCCTTGTTTAACTGAAGACTGACTAGGCATATCAGCGGCTGACAACTGGCAAACTCCGCCGTTCATGCGCGCATTCAGGACAAAGAAGCTCTTTATCGGTACCTCCCACTTCATTTCGACCGTCTGCTTAGTTCTTCTATACTCAGGTCAAATTGCCGGATGTCTTCTTGGTCACACGGCTCCCCAGAAAGGCGTAGTAACTATGAAACGCTTTGATAAGTTAACTTCATTATATAAGCACCCAGCAACTACTTTCAATGTCCACTTCGCGACTACCTCACGACCGCCCTCTCGGCACATAATGATCCGAATAATAAATGCTATCCTAACAAAAATCGTCGCGCGAGCTCACCTAACTGTTTTTATGGCTATACATATATATATATATATCTATATATATATATATATACTCGTATAAGTCAGACAACATCACTTTATATTGACTGATCTAAATATACGTCGTTTGGGATACGGCTGCGTATACGCAACCCAGATTTAATGGTTGCTGCGTGTTTTATCGCAAGTTGCGTGTTTGTCGGATTGAGGCTGTCGTGCTCACTACTGTATAGCTCCACCACATATAATGTATAGGTAAGGCTGAAGCGCTAGTCTTCTATCAACCGCGTGAGAATATGATGCAGGTATGGCATGGTAAGAAAATTTTTACACATTACTTCACTGTAGGACCTGCGAATTCACAAACTGAAAGTAATGTCTGATAGTAAGATGTCATGTGGCGCTAAAAGCTCTTGGGCGTTGTAAGTAACCGCTCTCTCGTTATGGCCGCTATATCTTAACGCAAATATAATAAACATTCCTGGAAATCACGTCACATTGACTTTCACGTGGCTTATTGGTCATTATTATTGTCTAGGCATTCAGCGAAAAATGCTGTGTTTCACGCCCGTGTTGAATTGATATCGCGCGCTCTAAGCGGAAAAGAGTCTGTTTAATAAAAGATCCGTGATTAAATCTTTGCTCAACGACATTATCGGAGATGCGCGAGCTCTTCGTATGTAACGCTGGAAGCTAAAGGCTAACTTAACCCTCGTGCGCCTTGCTGCGCGTTAGGGGGAGTGGCGGTTCGACACAGCGCACTTGTGGGCGCTTTTGCGCACACAGCACCGGACAGCACACAGCACACACACACTGTTTCACATCACACACACACACAGCACACAACACACACATCGGCTTCACACAGGCACACACCGGAGCAACACTCACGTCATTGACCTCCACTTCCTCCACTCACTCACAGCACGACAGCACGACGACCACACACACACACACCACACACACACACACACACACAGCACACGACACACACACACAGGATCCACTACACACCGACGCAAATCGACACATACACACTACACAGCACGCAGGCACACAGCACACATCCCACCTTCACACACCACAATTCTTTCCCGACTTGCTCGCGCGCCGCTCGCGCACACGGACAACTACTCATCTGCACACCATAAACGCCCACGCACGCACGCACGCACGCACGGACACACACACACACAGGCTTTCCCCAACACACACACACACACTGGCGATTTATTAATGAGTATTATAATTATTTAAATCACCAAGCCTAGCATATTCAAATATTGTGGTTTTTCTGGTTTATATTAATACCCGTCACGGCCGACCTTACTCGCAGTGTGAGTACGGGCGTGTGATAGTCAGCGCACGGGTGTGACGTCACAAACGAATCTGACTATAAAATGGTAATCAGGCAGTAACGTTTAGCCTTGTTGTGTTTACTAGAAGGCACACACTGTGGCGGAAATTATATTACCACGGGCTGGCGCATCATTTTTAGGTCGTGGTCGTCTGCATCAGTACGGTGCAGCCGCGCATGAGAGCAATAGGCTTTTCGCAATACACGTATGCACGTGTACCCGCGCTTTATTGGCCCATGGCGACTTTAACGGGCGCGCATCGGCTTAAAACCGAAATGTTTAACCGTTAACGTGGCAATAGGATTATATTTATTTAAACGCGAATAGGAATTCAGTTAAACGGGGTCCACATTCGCTTAAACCAAGATGTCTATGGATTAATACTCCTAATGCACGTTATTTTAATCAGACACGTTTATTCTTATACGGATTTTCCTGAATTAGTGGGTTGCCGACTCCTGGCCCGCGCGATAAAGCGGGTGATCACGATACTAATGCTGAGCAAGCAATGAACGGTAAGGACGTTAGGCTTTTATTAGCCCGCTGTCTAAGCGGCTGTTTTCTTACGGTCAAATGCAATTATGTTCTCGCCACAGTTGGTTTAAATGGTTCAAGACGCTGCAATTATTCTCCTCGCGGCTCGAGCCTTCTCCCCATGAGTAACCTTGGGAATACCTATATTGGTGCCCATTCACCAGAAATCGTTATCTTGTATCCGTGTTTTTATTGTAAGCGACCTTACATGGCATTAAAATATTTCCGTGTGTTTATATTTTCCGCAAGCCATTAAAATCCAATAACGGACTAAGCGGCAATTACTGAAAAAATCTTTTTTCTTTCGCGGGGTTTTCTACCATTCCTTTGCGTGTGATTTCTTGTGGGTCCATGGCAATCCACGAATTTTATTTGTAGGCTCCACACGTAAATATCATGTGATCATATGTCGAATTTGCTGATTCCGGAGTGAATAGTGTGCGTAACTAGTTTTTATGATACTACTTTTATCTTTTTAAAACCGCTCGACATGCTCGTAGTTCGTAATCTGTTTATGTTGGCAATTATTGAGGAAAGTGGGTTCGTAAAAATGGGCCATTGGCGGGTTATAAATGGCGCTTACCTTGCTAGTTTTGTCTTCCATCTGATCTTTTGGTGCTCTTCACCAGTCAATTTTAGACAGCTCCAGCGTTACTGATACTGCTTGGCCAAATTTTAGCATATGTTTGTCTAACCCCAACATGCGTGCGGATTTTCTGCGTTGTCGAACCAAGTTTTCGCAACATGTTTGAAAGTGTGTTTTTCAGCAGCGGTGGACCTGCCATCCTAAGGTATAGCATTTGGCACAAACAACTTCCTAATTCTATATACTAAACAACAAACCCGACGATATACTAGCTGATACTGGCACATTAAATCTGGATAATCTTCAGGTTTATGTGCATATTATTCCAAGCGATGTTTTTTAGATGTATCTGGGTGTTGTGATTATTCATGATTTTCAACTTTGATGATGCAACACTTTGTCTTTTTGATGCTAATGGGATAAAATGGCCAGCAGTTCTCAGGGGTAAAATAGCGCAGGGTGGAGCCATTTTGGCCCATGCAGGTATCAGTCGAATTATATTTTGTTGCTCATGGTTAATACCAATCCTTTTTTCCCTTTTTTGTTTTTTTTTTTTTTTTTTTTTTCATATAATTTTTCTGCATTATTGTAATGTTTGCAGAAAGCGCACCATGCCTAGACATTAGCGTCCGAAAAACAAGCGCAAGGCAGTCCTGGGATGATGAGTCCAATTGAAACCACATCTCACGTGCTTCACGTTTGCGCAGCATTGGTCGCGCGTTGAACATGGAACAGCCTTATTTGAGCGCTGCAAAACAGTTCAACTTCCAGGCAGATTAAAAAGAAGAAATCTGTTGAGGCATAGATGGTACAGGAAAGGGCTCTGAGGCACACATGTGCAGTCAGGAAAGAACGGCGCATGTGGTATGCTGTGGGAGAGAGTGGAGTGAAATTCAGTTTTATGGCATAGAGTGTAACAAAGTGGTGTCACCAACAGATGCAGCAGGACTGAAAATTGCTGTAAAACAGGCGAATCCAGAAGCTTTCGGTTCCCGTTGCAGAAAGAGGGTATGTCAGGGAAGGAAGGTGAAAGAGGACTGAGGACTTCGGAGGAAACATAGAGGAAGTTTATGAGTTTTGCTATCTGGGTGATATGGTGGACTGTGAGTGGGTAGCAGAGAGAACTGTGAGAGTTTAGAGTAGCGGCCTGCATGGAAGAAATGGAGAGAGATGGGCTAGTTTGCTTAGTAAACAGACAGTATTCCGTTAAAGAGTCAGAGGCAAATGTCTATGAAGCTGTATATAGATCAGTTTTGTTATAATGGGCGTGGAAGTGGTGGGCTAATGACAAGAAAGAGTATGACCGATGTAATTGAGAAGATGTGATAAGAAAGATGCTAAAGGTACAAGCTTGGAACCGTTAAATGGCAGGATAGGTTATCCAGTGAAGAAGTGGCAAAGGCGATGTTGGTTTAAGAGTAGATACGAGGAATACGCAACGTAACAGTAGAAGACTGCAATGGTTTGGCATGTTAGAAGGGAGCAGCGAAAGAGGAGTACTGAGGTTTGTCGAAGAATTAGAGATCCCTAGGAAAAAAGACCGGTTGGCAGAGACCGCAAAGGAGAGCATGGATTCCGGACCGTAGCGTGCAAACAAGATCTCTGTTCTTAGGCTGGCCTCGAAGTATAGATGAAGGACTACAACGCAGGAACAGCAGAAGGGTGGAGGAGGATCAATCGCAAGTCGCAACGCCCAGGCAGTCGTGGAAAAGATGGAAGCTATAAACAAGATGATGATGATGATGAATGAAAGTCTGTTGGAGGATGGTTCGCGCGATGCAGAGCTGTATTTTCTGTGGCGATTTGTAGGCAGTTAAAAACCACGCTAATGAAGGCTGGATACGTTGTAAATAGATTGCCACCAGAGTGGGCCAGGAGAGACAGGTGGCGATGAATGTGCTAAGGTAGTCCTCTGATTAGCTGATATGAGGGTGATCTTAGTTCACATCCGTGAATTGTATGATGATAACAGTACTTTGTGTGACTAAAACTAAATGTCCATTTTTACGCCCTTGGCAATGGCGCATTTTACCGAGAGGTCGGGTAAGAATGGCGCATCAGCGATACAAAATCTTCTCTTGGATCACAATAGTCCGAATTTTACAAGTCATTTTTAAGTCAGCTAGAGGATGACGAAGGTTTATTGTTTGCTCTTCCTTCTTGGTGCCTGTTGTAATAGCACAAGTGTCATTATCAATTTATACATTTGTTTGTCTTTTTCCGCTGTTTAATCTGTGAATTTTCTCCATGCCAAAGTAAAGTGGCATTTTAACCGCCACTCTTCTATTCAACATGTATTTTTATGTGAATACCACGAAAATTGGTACCCACCCGACGTACAGGGAGAGAAGGGTTGGCACGAGAGAACAAGGCGCGACTTGATGAGACAGTTGAGAGATCGTGGCAGCTACAGGTGAAGAGAAGGAGGTCTGCCGAAATGAAAAGCACTATGGAGGGAAGTGGAGACGATGGTGAGCCGAGAGAGGCACGAAGAATAGGGTTAGGATAGTTAGCGATAGATGTTAAAGAATGCGCACAATCGTACAGGCACACATGATAGAGGTGGAATAGTACTATCATTATATATCTATGGGAGAGTGAGTGAGTAATAGTGATAGCGAATTAAATGGTACGAATTATAGAGGGTAAAAGTATTAAAATAGTTGGAGAGTGAGACGATGATAGATAAGTACACCTACTCATAATGGGTATCGAGTGTCTATGCATGAATATCAGAGCCGCTTCCGGAGCGGTTCTGAAGCGTCATGTAGAAGCGAAGGAACATTGATATATCAAAGAGAGCTCGAGATGGCTTTGAGCTTATGGCAGTCCCATGCAGGCCGCCTAGTCTATTGTCATGGTATAGAAAGACATAGACGATAGACGACGGGCAAGCTCTACATTTCTCTGTCATTTAGATACCCTGGCTTTAGCTTGTGGACTATTAGTGGTACGCGAGCGGGCCCACGAGTGGAACATGTGTTCGACGGTTTCCAAAACGCAGGCGCAGTGTTCAAACGCATGATTAAAACTCAACCGGTTTGTGACTACCAGCTTCCGCGATTCCGAGGGCCCCTACATACACGGCAATAAATATTTGTCGCACACGGAAGTACGTGATCCCGCGAAGTATTATTTGTCAATAGACAGTCACATAGCTCTGCCGTAAATACGACGACCGCTTCGCCATCAGTAGAGGCGCAGGCGAGCTAGCAGCCGGTGCCAGACATGCGCGGTTCAATAGAGTACTTTCCGTGTTATAGGACTCGCGCTGAACAAAACACATACAAATCAAGTGATATATTATATTATATATATATCTATATATATGTGTGTGGGGGGGGGGGTGTGTGCGTGCGTGCGTGGCGCTGCCAATGCGTCTGTGCGTGCGCGCGCTGCAGTGTGTGTATGTGTGTGTGTGTGTGTGTGTGTGTGTGTGTGTGTGTGTGTGTGTGTGTGTGTGTGTGTGTGTGTGTGTGTGTGTGTGTGTGTGTGTGTGTGTGTTGTGTGTGTGTGTGTGTGTGTGTGTGTGTGTGTGTGTGTGCAGCGATATAGGTTTGCGCGTACAGTGCGTTTGGAGTACAACCTTTCTTTTATTTTAATTAAAACTAATCAGAAGCCGTACAAATATAATGCCAACTAATTTATTTACATCCATTATTTGACGGATCTGCCATCGCTTACGCGCCAGAGATAACGGCGTCTTTCGTGTTCCTAAAGCGCCTTCTTCTACGAGAACATGACAAAAACATCGGAGAGCAACTTGAATTCGTCAACTCGGGAAACGAGTGAGAAAGCTCACGGGGGCCACCAACCGACCTACATCCAGCTGTGAGTGATGGTGTGCGATGACGCTCAATGCAACATTACCGTGTCTGTTTGGATCGCTTAACATTAGCTCGATATTATTATTGACCGGCACATTTCCTGATTCTCTTTCACGCGCTCCTCTATTTATACGTATGAATGCGTTTTATTCAGTTCGTTGACGCCATAGCCGCGCGGCTCGTCGAGGTTTACACGCGCGCGCGCGCCGCCCCGAGCACCATGCTCGCATATCGACTTCAAAAAACGTGAAATAACATGTACGTTTCTCTCATTATCATCGACTTCATAGGTGACCTTTTCGTTTTAGGTAAGCGCAAACATGGCCTCCATCGCCTCCACCGCGTATTCACGTGGTAAGCCACCATACAACATACGGTGCGCATCATCATACACGCAAAATCTTAGGTGTACCAGCTATACAGCACACGAGCCATATCTCGTAACGCATAATGCATAATGCATAACGCATAATGCACCCTCTACGGCGGCGCTATAGTTATTGTACAACAGTAGAAGGCGTCCATAGGCAGCAGGCCTGAATAAGCATCAAACAGAAATTAATTTAAAATACTCACACTGTGTCGTCGCATACACAACATACACTTTATTCATGTTAAATAACTACAGATTCATGCACTATGCTTAGCTCGAAACTTTTGCCAGCGCTATGATGCGAATTTCTACAAAGTAGTCACATTTCAAACACAAAAATGGCCAACCGGTCACCATGGCTACGCCACTTGACGGAATGTCACAACTACACGACAATACCAATTTTACTTCTAATGCTTTCTAGACGTCCATGAGGCACAAAAAATGAGCATAATGCAGATTATTGCACTCTAGTGCCGAATTTCACCGAAAAAAAGAATTTTCTGGAGACCAAATGTTGCAAAAATTTGAGAAGGCTTACTGTTTTATACCACGTCATGATAACACGTACACCGAAGATGAAGAAGAACAAATGCTTTTATTCACTCCTAATATGGTCTTAGCGTACGTGAGATGTAAACTATGTCGATTCACATTATTATTCCAGTTGGCCATTGAATGCCAAACATATTTAACAAATACGGCGTCTTTCTTTCCTTAAACGTCAGTTTAAAGACGATATTAGACTTGTAAAAAACTATAGAAAATACGGTTGCGTTTACTTGTCGCTAATGCCACCGAAGAGAACGAAATAAAACTCGCAAGCCCGAAGCGTAGGTATGTAGCGTATTCAATTATATCTTGATTATATTTATATCTCTGCTTTGCCGATGCAACATCTCTAGTCGGTACTGGATAATTTGTTAGATACAAAACCGAGAGATCTCAACATTTCAGCTTGTTGTTCCGACATGGTCTACGGACAGTCGCCTACTATAGACACAATGCAGTAATTAACAGGCGCTAAATATGGACGCGGAAGTATACACGACTGCGCCTAAAGGTTGTCTAGAAATGATGCCCAGCGAGAGCACTAATGTTCATTGTTAAATGATGGATGGATGGATGGATGGATGGATGGATGGATGGATGGATGGATGGATGGATGGATGGATGGATGGATGGATGGATGGATGGATGAATGGATGAATGGATATATATATAAGTATAATGACAACTATTATTTCTTTGTGACCGACCTTACACACTACTACTTACTACTCCTTACCTGTGAGCTGCTCTGGGCTGACGGATACTGTTCGCTGTAGCGTGACTTCAGCAGCGGACGAGTTCGTGCGCAGATGTTTGACGAGACGGATGATGGCATCCTTAGCACCCTCACATTGAGCGAATATCTCGTACTGCAGTCCCGCCTTCTTTGATTTACGCGACTCGATGTGGAGCAGGTTGACGTGGTAACTCTGCAGTGGTTGAAAAAAAATTACCAGATGACCACGCTATCATGAATTTCTCATGAACAGTATTCAATAAATAGTACTAATAATACTGTTATATGTATGTACGATACACTCACACGATTGTATTGCACGGTTGTGTATGTGTATGTGTGTGTGTGTGTGTGTGTGTGTGTGTGTGTGTGTGTGTGTGTGTGTGTGTGTGTGTGTGTGTGTGTGTGTGTGTGTGTGTGTGTGTGTGTATGAGTGTGTGTATGTGTAGAGGGATGCGGCGATGTGTTTTCTTGGTGTATGTCACCCGAGAGGCGACAATTCGACCATTTTGTCACAGCAGTGACAACGATAACGCTGTCGAACTTCTGGCGACCTCTAGTGACACGAGAAACAGCACAAGTAAGCCAGCCGCTTTTTTAGGAGCAGTTGTAGATGATGTCTGTGGTGTTAAGACTGCCTGACTGTCAAGCAGTTCATGGATCTGTATAGTAATCACCAGGACGCTGCTAAACTCTTCGTAAAGATGATTACGTCATGTAATCTAGGTCCCCTACTAGCAGACTAGTTCTGTTTGATAGTGAGCTTGGTAATGGTAGTTTAACACGGGTGTCTTCGTGAGTGCGTGGGTGCGTGCGAGCGTGTGTACATGCGAGCGTGCGTGCAAGTGTGTGCGCGCAAGATCTAGCGTTGTAGTAAAGTAGCAGTGAGTGTGCGGGAGTGTGTGGAGGACAGTGAGAGGAGGACGTCAACAAGAGAGAGAGAGAGAGAGAGAGAAAGAGAGAGAGAGAGAGGGAGAGAGAGAGAGGGGGGGAGAGAGGGGAAGGATGAGAGAGCGAACCTGACTGCGTATAAACGCGAATTTTTGCATGTGAGTGTTACATGAACTTTATAATCATTTATATATTATTGTATATACATGAGTACTCTATGGTATTGTTAGACATATAATGTCATTAGCCGACTGAATAACTATAATAAGCTGAAAAGTGTAACCTACCAGCTGTGTACCTTTTCGACATATGTATATGTCGCATGTCAAACACAATGTCAGTTATGGTAATGTTGATCACAAACCTAGTAGCCACTCTTGGCGCGTTGGCTGCATAGAAACCCCGCGAAATTCAATGGAACCTGCATTCAATGTATGCACGTTTCCGGTATACCTATTTCTGCGACCGACGAAGAGATTATGTGTTTAGGTTATAGGCGAATTATATAATTACTATAAACCTACTCTAAATACACGTTCGATATAACTATAACCACACTTTAAACCCTGTATATAGTTATAAACTATGAACTAACACTAAGTCCAGGTTCGGTACAAAACTGTAAACCCTTAATCATGGTTAGATTTAGCTGTGATTCGGCCCTTTTTGCACGCAAGTGAGATTCCCGGTCGGGGTTCGTGACCCATGCCTTATAGAGTATCCCCAAACATTAGATTTACGTTCAATTGCGAGGTGGTCATTTGCAGAGCATCGCGCAACCACAATGACCGTTTCAACATGCCATATTGCGCCCCCCGAAAGTGGTCATGATTACTAAACTACGAATGCGAATTATGAATGGACACCATTATTGCATCACGGTCGGACATTTACCGAAAATATCTGAATGTTACGACGCCCCGATCTTTGAGTCTTGGCAATTAAGAGAAGCGACAGCGGTATACCCGAGCAGTAGCGAGTCTACTGCAGCACGCAGTAGTGTTGGGGCTGTAACAAAAACAGGTTGTATATTTTATACTATAGTCTATACTAAAAATACTAATC